CCGTTTTTTATTGTATTCGCTCCGAGACAACGTAGAGATAAAGACCTACGTGGTTGTGAATGCAGTCAATGGAATGTAAACAAACGGGCTTGTGATGCTACGCAGTGTGCGAGCGGTATACATAGCCATATAAAGTAGATACTTTATATGCTATTGCCGATACAACAAACTTACCGACATCGCATCGCACATAAATAGATATATCTTTTTTTTTTTTTATATTAGAGTGCTCTACGTCCGGCTCCTTTAATAAAGGCACTAATATGGGCACTTAGCACTTGGGAGAAGGAAGGGATGAGGGATGGGAGGCCTCCCATTACTGGGAGGGTGGTAGGGGGAAGTTAGGCAATTTTTGCTGCGAGAAGGTTGCCTAAACTCTCCTCGAGGAGCATTGTGTGGTGAAAAAGCACATGTAAAAAATTACAGAGGTACTTGCCCGAAAAAGTTGCACTGGCCGGGAATCGAACCACGGTCTCCCGCGTGCCAATCCAGGACCTAGCCGACTGAGCCACCGCGCGCTCCTATAATATATAATTATATACGTATATCTGTGCACATGGTTCTGCGCACATAAGGCAGGACTGTTATGGAGCTTTTTTTAGCTCGAAATCGGGTCAGATGCAACGAACTTACGGCGCAGGTGTAAGGGAAAAAAAAGTGGTGACATCAAGTCTTGAACTCATAATCTTATGGTCTAAAACGAAGTATCTAACTCAGCAAACATATAATACTACCCGTCAAAGTGATATCTTGTAAAAGTTCATAGTATGAACCGGAGCTTAACCTTGACTTGTGTATGCTTCTGTTTATTTAATTGAAATTCTAATTATGCACAAAATGTACTTGCTTAAGAGTTTTAGTTATTTTCATCAAAAAAAAAAAAAAAATCAGGTGTGGGTCTCAGGACCTTTGGCAGAAGTGATACTTCTTACTCAAATGTTATTAAACTTGGTATGACACAAACTGGAAAAATTAGATTACACCTTATTTTAAAAGATCCTTGACAATCCAATATAAAAATAGTGAAAATTTCATTATTGTTACGTATTCGAGCACGTGCGTGCATAAAATACATATATTTATGTAACTTGTGACTAAAAAATTAAGTACCTCCATGTTTGCTATGACATACGTATATTAATATGTTCACTAATTTGTGGTCGTGTAATGCCGGACAAAAGAAAAATTTTCACAAAAGTGCCCCGAAAAAGGTACTTTTGTCCAGTTTTGCGGGACAAAAATTACTTTTATATAAAAAATTCGTGCATTTAATATGACAATAAGTATATATTATGTTCTATCAATTCTTGTAAGACTCATTGTATCTGACAAAAAAATTTTTTTTTTTATTTTGTCTACCGTAAAAGTAAAACAATTCACTATGCAGATTAAGGATAACAAGAGACAAATAGCTATTTTTCATCATAAAGTAGTATTTTTTCATTCCATTCGTTTTCTAGAACTATTTATGATTAATATTAAAATTAACACGTCCTTCTAACTAATTTTTACGAATATCAAAATTAATAACAAGAGTACAGGTTTTGTCACGTGACAATTATTCTTATAAAATATAATAAATAATAGAAAATTATTCAATTTATAGCTAGGATATGTAGGATGTAGCTCCGCCTTTTAAATATGGCTTACTATTTTTATAATCATCATGATTGTTTGTATAAATCCATGTAAAATATATTTTTGTACCTCAATAATTATTTTCTATACGTGGAATTATTTTCGGTCTATCTGGATTCCCTTTCAAGATGTGACTGATTTTCACATTTTGAATGGTTATGTTGTAAGAAGAATTTTTCAAAGATTTTGTTTATGTCCATATTCATTTTCTAAATACAGTATAGAAACTATGATTTATTTTACCCGTTTTTTTCAAGATTCAGTCACAAAAATAAATAATTAAGGTTATGTTTTGTGCATACTCCAACTTCTCTATATTTGTGCATTTCAACGACGTAGTTTGCCTTTGGGTAACCCGTTAAAATTGTTATTTTTAGCCAATTTTGCTTTCCCGTCAAGGAATAGCGTTTCTTGTTTTCAAAAGTAAGGTTGTCACATAATACATATTTCAAGTTATGACGTCAATGATGACGTCATTTCAGACATCGCAAAATACATCATTCATGACGTCATGAATGGCGTCACATTGACGTCAATGTGATGTCACTTGCGACGTCACAAAAGACGTACTCCACAACGTCTCAAAAGACGTCATTTACATAGGTTGTTGTTTAACAAAGGGCTGTTTGAAAGCATTTGATGGCCTTGTAGGTGCTACCATCAGGATGGTAACACTAAAACCGGGAGGTTCAAGTATTTTTTTTAAGAAAAAAAAAATTTTCTCAAATGGGGAAAAAACTTTCTAAATTCTAAAACTTTTCAAATCCCTCTGTTTTAGTGTTACAATCCAGATGGACAACCTACAAGGCCATCAAATGCTTTCAAACACCCTTTTGTTCAACAACAACTTATGTAAATGACGTCTTTTGAGACGTCGTGGAGTACGTCTTTAGTGACATCGTAAATGACGTCATATTGCCGTCAATGTGATGTCATTCATAACATCATGAATGACGTATTTTGCGATGTCACACATGACGTCATTATTGACGTCATAACTTGAGATAGGGAATACTGTACGCACGTTTTTTATATACATGTATACATATAAACATGTGTATAATGACTGAAACGTGAAACTTATATATACATACGACCATCGATCATATATATATATGTGTGTGTGTGTGTGTGTGTATACAATATACATTCTTTGCCTCTAGTATGTAGGTACAGCTGTTGTTTTTCTCTTCTATTCCCTTTTCTCGATAGCTTTACTTCAGCTTGAGCAAGCGCATCGGTTTAGTGTTGAGGTTGAGTTGTAGCGTAGAGTTATACATACTAACTTACTCACATACCTATAATGTATACATACTCACTTACTCACATACCTATAATATATGTATACATATAGTAGCAGCGTGAGGGGAAGGGAGCAAGCAGAGTACATGCGAAAGAAAGAGAGATGGAGTAAGAGGGAGAGGGTGTAAAAGAGAAAATTAGGGAGAGGGCTTGGGCTACAGAGTGGGTGGCTACGTTTTTTCGTAACGCTTTTTCCTTCACGTGGCTGTTCACGGCCTAACATAAGAAGTTGGATATGGCAGCGACCAACGGAGGACTCAAGTTGGAAGGTCTATGTGCCGCAAAACATGATACCCCGAGTGCTCTATGAGTTCCACACTCACCACGCGGGACATCCAGGAATGGAGGAAACGGCTCGCAGTATCAAAGGTTACCACTATTGGCCTGGGATGAACGCCGAAATCAAGAAATTCGTCCGGGACTGTAGGCTGTGCGCATACTATAAAAAAGCAATTACTGCTCTAGGTACCATGCGACCACATCAGCCCAAACACCCATGGGAGATCATAGCCATTGATCTAATGGGTCCATATCCAAAGAGCTCTAGGGGACGACGTTTCATACTGGTTGTCACGGATCTCTTCAGTCGATGGGTCGAGGCCTTTCCTCTGGGTTCATCGTAGCACCCTGGCTTACCCAGCTCCTGGAGGATGAAGTTTTTGGTCGGTGGGGATATCCTCGAGTCATCCTAACGGACAATGGACGACAATTCATCGGACAATACTGGAAAGACGCTTGTATGCGTTGGGAAATTCAACATTGGACTACTCCAATTTATTCCTCCTCGAGCCAATCCTACGGAGCGCCGAAGCCAGAAGATTAAGAAGGGCCTTCGTCTACATTTGCACGGGCAATCCCACAACAAATGGGACGTACACTTACCGAGAGTATTATACCAATTAAGAAATCGCCCCAACGCCGCCACTGGGGCATCTCCGGCTCAACTGCTGTTGGGTCATGATACCTCTCGACCAGGGGAATGGAGAACCCGTCAATTCGCAGAACAACTCCCACAAAAGGGGTATATTGATGCCATAAATGAGCCACAAAGGATGCCTATTTAAATGAGCACCAAAAAATTGACAATGCAGTACTGTACTGTTGTTTATTTCGCAATGTATCATATGTGAATATGCAACCATCATCAAAATTTTAGAACTATATTTATAAGCTCGCAGTGGCTTAGTTGGCTATGTCAGGGGTTGGCACAGGGGGATTATGGTTTTTTTTTTTCAACCTGTTCAAAATTTTTGGGCAAGAACCTTTGTGATTCTGAAATAAAGTTATAATCTTTGTTAAAATAACGCTTAGTTTTCAAAACTATGGAATTATATAAATGTAAATGTGTGGTCTTTAATCATTTCAGAAAAATGGCTGATAGAAAATGTATATTTTAAAACATTCGGTGAAGATTCGGATTCTAATTTTAAAAATATCATTTAAATAACACATAATATATGTACATATTTCTTTAATAATATAGTACTATTTTGTCAAAGGAGAAACTTCCAATTATCAAAGTGTAGATACAGCAACATATAATAATGTTTATAAGTGTGATGATAACGTTTGTACAAATTTTCCAAAACCAGGATTAAATAATATAAGTCAATATCTTTCACCTTATAAATTTAATTTTTAATTCAGTGCAAAAGTAATACTAATAAAAAATTTAAGTATAGTAGATAAATGATGTAATAGAATAAGTAAGACATAACACAATTATTAGAATATAATACTAAAGCAAATATAAAGCTCTGCATTGTAAGACGTGCGACAAAAAAGAACTATTCGCATGTTACCTTTATTCTTAGAACTTTGCTCGGATCTTGATACCTGTTCTGAAATAGTATGAATAGCATTCTTTGATCACACTTGTTTGTGAATAGAATGATTTCATTACTAATATTAACAAAAAAAAGCTTGTCACACTACAATTTTTATTCTCACAAATAAAAGGAGTTAAATTATTTATAATAAATTTTGTCATTTTACTCTTAGCTTTAAAAATGCAAAAACTATTAACTGTTTATATGTATAAAGTTCATATATCTGCCTCCTAGGCAGTGAGCAATGTTTTTTTCTTTGTTTGATGGAGCGGGGAGAGGACAATCTTCATAGACACCCCAGCTAATCCAGTGGTAGTGTCGGATTCACCCGGTGTTCCTACTGACTCAAACCTAACCTTCCTGCAAGGGACAGGTCCATGAGGACAACTCCTCTAGAAGACAAAAGGGCATAGGAGAAGAAAAAAAGAAGTAAAATAACGGAGAATTTCGGAGGCCAGCTCGCTCTCAAAGGGATAAGAGGAGGAGTGCTTACGCATCTGGGCGAAACTTGAAAGCAGTGAGCAACAATATACAAAAATAAATAATTAAACGTAAATATTCAAATTTGTGTAAGGTTGATCAAAGGCAGTCCAGTATTTCGATAAAAATATNCGCCGTCTATTATTGTTTTTTCTCGTTCTCGTTGTTTATACGTTAATGATAAAAAAATAATAAAAATAAACAAAACTTTCTTTCTCCTAATCTGTATCTGTAATTGAGCCTGCCAATTTCCAAAGAAATAGTTATGATTATTTTTGAGTAGTCTATTACTGTCGAAACTGTTTAAACGTAAATATTCAAATTTGTGTAAGGTTGATCAAAGGCAGTCCAGTATTTCGATAAAAATATTATGAGTCAAAATAACAGAAAAAAAATTTTTTTTTAACAGTACACTTAAGCCATTATCAAATTTAATTAAAAATCAGAAATTCCATGACTTGTCATTCTTTTTGGAAGTAATAGTGAGTCAATACGATTCTATGCTATTAAGAAAATTTATCATCGGTTTACGTGGAATAATAAATAAATGTGGTATACACAAGCTTACTTCCTGTACAACCAGGATCCCCAGCAAAAAAAGTTTTTGCTTATTTTCACATATTAAATGAAAATATGTTTCCATCCTCTGATTGAGAAGACAATCTTTTGAACAGTCTTGTGCAATACGTTATGCTGTTTGTCTTTTTTTTACTATTATGTAAAGATATATAAAAATGTGAGTAAATTAAAATATTCTTGTTTTATTTATTAACCACAGAATCTAATACTAAATAAGTGCGCTATTCTTTTATTTTTCAAATATTTGTCTATTTCACATCAAATTAAAACCACGCAAGAAATTTTTGTTAATGACATGATCTTACAACAGACACTGCTTCTCCAAAAATTTTATTAATTTGGGAATTGTGCTTTATTAAATGTATAATAACAGCAGGTTCACTAAAATTTTCATTATGATTGTTTAAATATATTCGTATATCTTCGATACGTAAAGCTCTTTGTTCAACTATTTAATCCACCTATAATAATATTTTTTTTTACAAGTATTATTGTCATCTTCATTTACTTTTTTTGTGTTCTTTAGAACTAAAAATTTAGGAATAAAAAGATATTAATCATTCAAAACAACTGTTTACTTAATTTAGTTCAAACAGAGCTGTCACAAGAAATACCTACTTATTAATGGATTTTTCTAATTCAGTTACTAAAAACGTAATTGTTTTGTTCTTTTAATAAACTAATAGATAAGTAACTGTATAAATTCCACTACATGTTGGAAATTCTTGAAATTTTCGTGTGGCTTCTATGTGATTTAAGTTTCCAACGTCAATTTATTTAGTTAACATATCATAAATTTGATAACTTGTACTTCTTTTCTATGATTATTTAAATACCTTATCACCTCCTTTACGAATATAATCTAAAATGTATTTTTTTCTTTTTAGTAATGCACAGTACTCAAGGTTAATATAACAATCTTATCCAGTGAATAAAAAAGTATACTGACTGCTGGAATTGCTAATGGTTTAAAAGTTTAATTTTAATACGCAGTTTTTGTTAAGTATACAATAACAGATTTTTTTTTTAATAAAACTATGTATTACGTATAAAGTAACACATTTTATTTTAACTTTAACGTTTGTGAGGTGTTTTGGCAGATTTAATTACATCAGAATATTCAAAATTTAATAATTTTTTCATCAGGATAGAATGTTATTAAAAGACGACGTTATGTCGAAAGTGTCAGTAAAAGGTCGAAAAAAATGGTAAAAATGGCCAAATTAGGTTTTTTGTTTCTATCGGAAAAGCTGTAATTCGGCTAAATAAACGTTCTCTATGAAAAATATGCGCAAATTCAAGAGGAACAAAATGAGCCCTGGTGGACCCCAATCGGCCTTACCGTTTTTCTGCAAATTGCCAAAAAGTGACAATTTCACTCTGTTTTTCGGTATTTTATAACTAGAGTTCTTATTTATAATTTGACATTAAATTTTAACGAAACATGGGTTTCATGATTCTTAACAAACCTACCAAATTTCAAGACGATCGGATGTAAACTTTTTGCAAACCGTTAAAAAACTAAAAAAATATCCTTCCGAAGAATAGCTCTAAAAAAGTAGTTAGACCACATAAAATAATTTTTTAAAAGGTTTTTTCTTAATAAGATGTTAATCTAACACTGGTTAAATTTACGTGTCTCCAACTTTTTCGTAAGTACATTAAA